AAAGGATATCAAATCTTCATTGGCCCAAAAAGGTTCAATTAAAGATGATTAGTAGAGCAAGTTCAGGATAAGAAAATTTACCCATATAACGAACAATTTCACGATGGATAATAGCAGAGAAATCTAACAACGGGTCTACCCCACCTGCAGCCTGTGAAAATAATGCTAGAGGTATCACACCTGAAGTAAAAATATGAACCTCAGAATTCATTGTAGAAGTAGGTAAATCAAACAAAAGTGTTTGTATGTAAAACCTGCAAGTGTGAAAAAAAAACAAAAAACTGGGAAATTAACTTAAATTAAAAAAGTTCTTCAGTGTAAAGAAAAATAATAATAATAACGAAGAAATCCAACTTCGGAAATTAAACTATTAAAATCAGGAGTTACATGAAGAGCACCAAAAGCAAAAACATCTGCACACGAGGACTGCCAAATGAGAAGTGATAGTTCAATAGAATTGAATAGAGGGAGTTACCTGCATCATGAGAGTATGTCACACTCTTATTGGTGAAGGGTTGACGCATGATGATTTGCATAAGAGGTGCATTGGAATCAGTCAATTCCAATGGAGGGAAGATAGAAGGCTTGTGGCATGCGTAGATTTTTTTTGCATATAGAGGGCAGTATTGAATGAGAATAACTATTTATGTGAGCAGAGATAATATACCATATTGGAAAATACTACTAATCACTGAGCTCTAGTCGTTAAGTGACAATGGCTGTGGAAATCATTCAGAATAGCACTGAAGAAATCTCACAGACTCTAGAAAAGGGGTCTTTTTATGTAGAGTGACTCGATAGCTTAGAAGGACCTGTTAACTCTTGCACCTATAACTATCATCATCATCACACTTTATTCTTGCCATATAATGTGTATACATGTGTGTGTGTGTATTACTTCTTACATTAGATGCTGTATCTAACAATGCAAGATAATTAGTAATAGTATACCCACATAAATTAATTGCTCATGCATGCAAGGTTGGGTTTAATGTGTTAAACATTATTATTTCAATACAAATTTTGATTTTAAGATTAACAATACTTTTATGCATCAGAAAACTGTCAAATATCACATGCAAAATCTTCATAACCTCCAGTTAATTATCAAACTTTTTTAGAAAAACTATATTTTATCTGTTATTTTTACATTGTATCTCTGTAAGGGTTTTGTCAATTTCACTGACCTTGTAACCAATATAAAAAATTAAGAAATATATATAAATTACAGTTTTTTTGTTCTAGAATGATTACAAATTATAACAAGAAACCACAAAGATCAACAAAAAAAATAAAATGGATAATGTTATAACTAACATTACAGAAGTTGCAATGACATGGTGCACGTGCAGTCCTGCTTACTGTATCCAATAGTATAAAACTGGCCTTTACAAATTGACCTGTCTTTGGTTTGTTCTAGTGAACCAGTACTTTTTAAAATACAGTTGCATTTTTGTTATAATACATTATATATACACATACATTACTACTATTTACAAATAAGTTATTAAATTTTAGTTATTTTTCTTAAAACAAATAACAGTAAATAAAGAATATATAACAAACTGATATTTTAACGATTACAAACTTTGTACTCGTTTGCCCACTTGCCATAATCTGCTAAGCCTTGTCAAATTTTGCATGTGGAAGATGTAAAAAAAATTTTTTTTTGATTTTATATATGCATTATGAAATAACCAAATATTATAAATTACTCTATCAATATTGCAAAATTCCACTATAATTCACCAGGTTTACTAAATAAACTGTATTTGAGTAAAAAAATAGTTTTTCAGACAACATTTTCACTTACTCCTTCAGCAATTCAAGACAAAGAAATAACCTTGGGAACTTCCCACCTTTTAGAGACTGAGAAAACCACTATAGGGACATTCTGATCTTTTGACTGGTTATTCACATCATAGACAGAAGTTTGTGTATGTAAGCATTTCCAAAAATGGAAAGAGGTGGGCAGAACCACTGTGTTTGATTCACTAAATGTAGCAATATCTCAGCAAATAGAAAAGAGAGGAGGTTCTTATTTAATACTCTAGCTTGTCAATATTGGTAATTTGAATTTGGACATCACAAACATAATTTAAACCAATGCTGTATTCAACATACCATGTGACACATAAAAATTGATATTTAGGAAAATTTTGTTTTAATATTTAGTTTTAAATAAAGAATTAACTAATGTTTAATACTGAAATTTGAATTATAATATACAATGTGATACCAAACTTACTAGCATACAATCATAAAACAGTAGATGAATAAAATTTTGAATAAAAGTCTACAAACGTGTGGACATGACCTTTGACCCCTGACCATAGGAAGTCCCGTAGCATAAGGGTTAATATACGTAATAAATAACATTCTGAACATACCAATATTACAAGTAAAGTAACTTTTTAAACTGTATATCTCAAGCTTTCATTTAATATACATAATAAGTTTAGCCTGTTATATATCATTTATATACATTTCTGTGATTTTCTTTGCCCATTCAAGCAGTTACTTTGGCCTATAAGGCCTAATATAAGCACAGCTTAACACAGCATGCTTGTAGGCAAAATAAAACTTCATACTATCAATTGCAAAATGATTTAAGTAATTCTACTTCCTCTTGTTCCAGGAAAAGCACTTCCTATTATGCTGTAACATCATAATTCAAATGAACTATAAAATTATAAAGAAAGCTTCAAAAGAATCACGACTGTATTTGTGAAAGATACTGTTCACAAACACTGTTTCTTCTAGCAACAAGCTAAGCTTTCCTCTGATCTGTACATGATTTTCTACTGACTCCACACAATTCCAACCAACGTATCTAAAACCAGTTTCCCACAATTATCCAATCAGCATTTTTAACAGTAACAACAAAGTCCCCCAGTGGTATGTCTGCAGAATTACAATGCTAGAATCCGGGTTTCGATACCCGTGGTGCACAGAGCATAGATAGTCCATTGGTTGTTTTGTGCTTAACTTCATAACAAACAGTAACAATCGTGGCCTCATTATAGAATTTCTCATTGACCTAATCAGTCTGATCTAGTGGCCTATAACAATTGACAAAAACTTTCTATCCTTGGACCCCCTGACTGTAATCCATTGACAAAAACTTTCTATCCTTGGACCCCCTGACTGTAATCCACATAGATTCAACTTCTTCTCTACCATCTTTTGTCTTCATTACCAACATTCCTGATATAAAGAGCCAATCCATTCTGTGTTATAAACAATCTGTTATTATTAAATATGTTATAAACTAGTATCTAAAAATAATTCCTATTATAATTGTTTTCCAAATACAACCATGTTTCAGTACTTCCCACTATATCATAGTACTCCATTTCAACTGGAACCTTAAGCTCTTATTTTCTCCTAATACTCCTTACACTAGAACAACAGCAACGTAGTTTTTTCTATCCTATTACTTTTATATTTAAACCTGATAGTTGCTTTTGAAGCTTTTATTTAACTTCTTATGCTTTGAATCTCTTTTTTTCTAAGCATCACAATCTAACTTCTCTCAGCACTAAGCAAGTTTCATTTCAACTGTCTTTAATGAACTTCTTTAGAGCTTCTTCAAACATCCCATCAATCCACTTATGTAAGGCCCATCTCTAACCCATCTGTTACATATCCCTTGTAATCTTTGTTTAAACATTGGATCCTGCTATGTAGTTCATACATACATGTAGCCTGAGGAAACACTGCTTAAAAAACAACCTGTTTATTTCTCTTCCTAAACTTCTGAAGGAATTCTTTATAAACAGCTCTTCTGACTTAGTATATGATTTGTTCCTACTTTCACTACAGGACACACAGAGAGAGAGAGAATTTTCACTGTTACCAACAACTTAACTATCAACACACAATATAATATACTGTATCTTAGGCCCTAGATCACATCAAAATTATTAGTCTAATTTTGACTGAAATAAGCTTAACAAGCACTGTACTGTTAGTAGTGGCAGGGTAAACAGGATATTAGGTGGTATCTATAGAAATATTGACTACAAATCTCAAAAGTTTATAACTTCATTGTAAAAGCCACTGGTTAGGCCATATTTGAAGAAGGACGTTGAATTGTTGGAAAGGGTCCAGAGAGGGGCTACTATAATGATACCTGAGATGGAAAGGTTAAATCTCTGAAACTGTTTTATCTTGAAAAAAAGATGAATTAGAGGGAATCTCATGGAGGTATTTAAGATTGTTAAAGTATTAATTTATTATATTTTTTATACTTCATGCTAGAAACTGTAGAACTAGGAACAATAAATAATGAATTTTGGCAGGGCAGTAGTCTTCTTCATGCCAATCAAGACAACTTTATTTTTCTAACAGGGTGCTTGGCTTCTGGAACAGGTTGCCTTCAGATGTGGTGGATGCTGTTAATTTAACAGATGGCTTGATAAATACTTGAATGATAAGGATTGATTTTGAATTTGAGTGTTTGATTTTTATTTAAAAATCTAGTTCATTGGATGGGGTAGCCTAGATAAATCAAAAGGACTCTTGTTCTTAAAATTTAAATTTCATATTTCTCTCTCTCTCTCTATATATATATATATATAAACAAATATATAGCAAACAAATCCTAATTATCCTTCCTAAATTAAATAATTAAATACTTACTTCAATAGTTGTGAGGAAATCTCCCACTGCGTAAACCTATTGCTCATCCCTTTCCTCATTACACACGGCGGAAGATACAAATCTGGTATTAATGTTAGTATTAACAATTTTACGTGAAAAATTAATAGTCTTGAACTTTCAATCGTTTTATTTAACTTTCCATAAAAATCAAACTTCCCACACTGGTATCACGAGAAAGACAAGACTGAGTTTCTCATCTAATAACACCTTAAACTTTTTAATTGTATTCAAAGTCGTTAGTTAGGCTTAACTTATTTCGGAATTTCATTTTATACTTTACACCATGAAGTTTCAATAACCATTAATATATATATCTAGATGTAATAAACAATTACCTTCTGGTGGTTTCGGAAGGTCCATCTTGTTATTTTAGTTTCATTAATCTCACAGGTGAATTTATTTCTGATCTCTGTTGCACGCAAAAACATTACCTACAAAACAGCGTACTGGTTTAACCTATCAGCACGTTTGTAGTACTGAGACATTGTATTTACACGTGCTAAGCCTATTTAACTGGAACGATGCTAGCCGTTACTCGTCTCCAGCTTCGAAGTTATAATTTTTCAGGCCTTTTAATGGCGGTTTTCTTAGTCAAAATTATAGCCGTAATCAATGACAGTACGAACAGTTGTGGTGACAATAGCGGATGAAAATAAGAGTTAAGTTTATTTGGCAGGGAAAATCTATTTAAATGTTAAATACTTTTGTGAGTTTATCTAAACCTTTACCCGCACAAATATTCAATGTTTAGACCTAAACATATTATTTAAGATTAAATATTATTGTAAGATATATTTTAACATTTCAATTTAGATGTTTGATAGAGGGCGCATGATGTTAAAATAGGTCTAGAATACCGAAAGTAGAAAATTCTAAATTTCTACGTCACGAAAATGTAGCCAATTCGAGGACTATCGAAGATGAGAGTAGATTATTAATATGAGAACCAGCTAGCAGTGAATCAGGGTTTAGTTTTCAGTTGGTGGTGCTAGTCATTGATTGCCGTATTTGGATCAATGTTAGTGATCGTGGTATTCAGTTACTGGATTGGTTAGCCCTGAAATTGTACAATAAATATAATTTTTCTTATGCTAGTTGTAGTACCGTTAGCGAGATATTTCTGTTTGAAAGACATTTGTAAACTGAGGTTTGTTTGTTTTTTTACTTCAGTTTAAGCATAACGCTACAGAAGGGGCTATCTGCCCACAATGAGTATCGAAACCTGGTTTCTAACTTTGCAAATCCACAGACATACTGCTGTGCCACTGGAGGGCGTAAACTTAGGTCTACAAATTGCAACAGTATGCATGCTTGTCAAAACGTAAAAGAAGAAATAAACTAATTTATTACCATTATGTGGAATGCACTTTGAATTATTTTCACTAAATAATTTTTAAAAAGCCGCCCAAGGAAAGAATGGTGTTATAATAATACATGTGTACTTTCTTCTTTTCTTTTTCTTTAAAAAATGGTTTATCTTCAATTGCTAACTGTTGAATATAGTTTTCCAACGAAGATTGTTTGGGTTAGCTTGTACCCGTTAGAACAAAAACATGCCATTTTAAATTTATATGTATGTCTCCATGAACACACCTTCACCCGAAGAATTTAAATGTTATACAAACCGCGCTAATTAAAAAAATAAAGCTAATAAAATCCCCAAATAAAATTCAAGAATTCATCAGCTATTATTATATTTATTTGCATTAAAACACATAGTCGTGAAAAAATCGTCTCTTTTCATATATTTGGACGTTTATCAAAGAAATGTTCTTATGCAAAAGGCCAAACTAAAACTGGGTAACTGTTACGTAATACTGACACACTCTGCAGAGAATGTGCTGAATTAAACATAGAATTTTTGTAGTTAAAACCACAACTGTGCTTCACTTGTGAAACAGTACTGTTAGTCGTCAAGTGCCCCTTTAGTTTAATCATATAGTAAGTTTATCTATAATTAGTATCACACCAACTAATCTGTAACATCCGGAGTTACAAATTCAGTTTAATATTCAAAACATTTAATTACATGGTTAAGCTAATTCAGTTTGATATTTTATAATATTTCTCTGTAAGATCAGTCAATTCAGTTGAATATTTAAATGATTTACTACATGGTTATAACTTGCCCAGTTTAAAAAAAAGTAGAATACTCATCTATAGACCTAATAAATCCAATGAAGACTTTCTAATATCCACCAACAAATTTAACCAATAAAGTTGAACACTTTCTAATATCCACCTTTAGAGTTAGCCTATCCAGTTGAATACTATATAATATTCACCTGTATAGCTAACCAATCCAGTCGAGTATTCAATAACATCTACTTAGAGATTCAGTCTGATTTCTCTTTTCTAACTTCAACTTTATTTCACAAAGCTTAAGTGTTAGTTTTAGTTAAAGACAACGTTTTAAAAACAGATCAACACACAGATGGTATAACACCATCATTACGTTTGTTCACATCCTACATTTATGTTTTCCTCTCGTTTTTCTTAACATGAATTTAACGTTTTCGTTTAATGTCATAGAGAAGAAGAAATTATGTGAGTTATTATTATTGTTGCGTATCTGCTCGTTTGTTAATTTCGGGTATAAATTTCTTCCAAGGAACTTCAGCGATACAAGTCCTTTCGTAATTAAAACAAGTTTCTTCTTTCTCGATACAACTTTATAATACACAGAATTTCCACAGTCAATATATTTGCAATCTCGATAACAAAACACACACTTTAAATTACCGTCACTACTGCTCACTTGACTCAGTTATCTCTATCTTCAATCTCTCAATCTATATCATTCTTCTTTATTTGCTGTGCTTATATACTAAAAAAGAGGGCGCCTAGAAAAGACTAGAGTTGCCAGGAAAAGTCAAGATCCTTCGAGAATCTCATGATGTCTTACCAGCGTCACGTGACTTCCACTGTCGTAACACTGCCCCTTCCTTAGTATTGTTCATCCCGAACAATAGCCACTTACATTAAACCAATAGATAATTAACAATACCTTGATTAAATGTACAGAATTTACAAACATAGCATCAAAATACAACAAAGTCTCTTAATTTTACGGGGCGTATCTTCTTTCGTGCTGGTCTTCATCTTATTGGCTTCTGCTTCACGTGGGGTTCATCTGCTCCATCAGGAAATGTCTTATTATCGGTAACAGTCATATCAGTGGTAGTAACTTCATTAAGGGCTTCACCGTTTCCCTTCTCAAAACAGTGTAGAGTTTCTTCTTCGACAGTGGCTTTTTCAGGTGACACGTCTACAGCAGCGTCATTTGTTCTGTTACGCCTCCAGTCGTTAGTTAATTTTCCGTAAATTCGTTCCGACGAAACTTTAGCGACACAAGTCCTTTCTTAAATAAAACTGGTTTATTCTTTCTGAATATAACTTAGCAATACACTTAATTTCAACAGTCGCGCTATAACAAACGTCTCACCTCACGAGCTCAACTTCAACAATACTCCGTTCAATTACACACTCTCTAACTGCAGTTCAATTACTCATTATACTGTTGTTCCGTCACGTT